ATCTATTATTTTGTAAAAGTTTTATTATTTTTTATAGAAATAAAAGTTGCATATTTATTATATTTGCAAAAATAGATGTTGCATATTAAAATATCCAATCAAAATTTAAAAATAATAATTGCGCAAATTTTATCTAGTCTAAAAGTCAAAAAAATATTGAAGAAATCAGAAATTAGTAATCGGAAATTAGTGATTACTTTTTTTTTTATTGATCTTCAAATTTCACATAATTTTGCAAATGCAATAATCGATTAGTTGGTGTCTAAAAAGTTCAATCGATTAGTTGTGACTAACTAACTAATCGATTTTTTCAACTTTCGATTTGTAATACTAATACTTGTTTTACTATGTTCCTGTATAATATCAATACATTCAATATTAAATTTTGTTTGAATACTTACCCAAAATGTTGGTGTATTAGTTTGTACAAAAAAGACTACCAAGAAATACAAAAAAGGCTCCGAATATCAATTAGACTTTACAATAAATATATTATATGAACAAATACTAATATTAAAAAATCAGATATTTTAATTTAAAAATTAAAAAATTTTATTAAAACTGATTTGTCTCTACTCTATTGACTTCCCTATTTTTCGAAAATAAATTACAAAAGTTTTTTAATACACCCATTTCTTTTAAGGGCTTGAGAACTCAATTTGTAAAAGATTTGTTAACACCTAAGTCTTAATATTTTATTTGTCAACGAAGATGCTTTAAAAGTAGATATGCGTATGTTGTCTTATAATATTCCCTATAAAAGCAAAATCCTTTGAAATTATTCTGAAATTATTCGATTTTTTGTTTGGCAAATCGACTCCGTATTGAATATTTACAGGATGTTTATTGGATATTATACCTTTTTTGTATGATAAGTATTTAATTAAACATTCTCTATTTTAATGTCCCGTAATGAAAACAGTATAAGAATAAACCCCTGTTCGGACGAAAATTTTATAGGGATTTTATATTAGTCACTTGATCTTAAATTTCATATTGAATTTATTATGCCGAAATCAGCCGAAAAATTATTCAGCTCATTTTTGTCAGGTGTCTCAGAAATTATGAAAACAGCTGTAATTTTTATTCTTTTTGTCCTTGAGAAAATTTCAGCACGTTAGTATTTTATGTTAATTGATTGTCTATGCCACCAAACATTTCTAATCCTTATGTTATATTTGCCAACATCTCTTACATTATTATAAATGACTAGCCTGAAAATATGCTTAAAAGAGAAATGATTTTAATACTTCTCTTATCAACTGGCCTGACCCACAAAGGTGCAGGGTGAAGGTCAACCCGCCTATCTACCTGGCCGTTAGGCTGGGGTCAATCTGTATCACTAGAAAAATCATTTGGCAAATTTTTATCAGATGTCCCAGAATTTATAAAAACAGCTGTAATATGAGAAGAAATTTTATATGTAGATTTGGATTGATAGATTGATGTAGGATACCTGCTGATATTATTGACTGTGACATATTGGAGGATGCATATTGTATTCTTAAGTTTCTCGAAGTAAGTTGGTTGATAAATTACTGCAATAAAAAAACTATCAAAAATTAAAATGTTGTTATATATAACATTGCTTGATACTGAAAAAGTTGTAAGAAATCCGCTTTCGAACAACATGAAAGAAAAAGATAGAGATGTTAATTGGTCCTTTGAGATCGAATCCTAGATGGTCTGGTCCGATCCTTCAAGGATCAGTAGGGATTCGATCCTTAAATCATGTGAGAACTATATAGGAATTAGATCCCAGATCGATTTTTGGATCCAATCTCTTTAAAAATTCTAGGACTGCTTTCGTTTAATATTAGAACAGCCCTCTGCCTTTGGCATTAATCACTATTGGTACGGAATATTTTTTTATAAAGCATACACCTTAATTTTGAAACTTTATAGCCCCCAGTTTGAGTGTTTGGTAATACGAAGTATGATTTTAAACTAACTTTTTAGAAGAAAAGTAAGTTGTTTAGGAAGTTAACTATCTCTGGATTTAAATAAAATATAGATGATAAGTGAGTAAACTTATAAAAGTTAAATTACTGAGTATTTCACACTAAAAAAAATTTTTCAACTAACTTAATTTGTTGAGCTATTGACTGACCTTGTTATAATTTGGAAATTTAAACAGCAACAAAGGCCAGTGTGCTTTACCATCTTTCTCACTAATAACAAAGGCGTATCGCCTTAAAGAAGTTAATCTTTTTCGGCATTAAATATATAATAAAGGTGAATTAAGCTAATAGAAGTTAAATTACTATATATAACTTATATTTGTTGGTGTTTGTTTTTAAATTTCTGTGGTAATAATTAAAGCATTCATGTTTTTTTTACCATCTTCTCGCTAATGACAAAGGCAATATGCCTTAAAGAAGTTAATAAATAAAAGGTAAATTAAGCTTATAAAAGTTAAATTACTATTAATTAAGAAGTATAACTTATACTTGTTGGTGTTTGTCGTGGTAATAATTCAAGCATTCATTTTAAAGTAAACCATTCTTTAATGATAAGTACAAAGACGATATGCCTTAAAAAAGTTTATCAACAAAAATAAATATCCCATATAATAGAAACAAAAGCCGTACGTATTAAAAATCTTTAGTAACAAAGATGGTATTGCTTTCCTTAGTAAACAAATGCAATATGTATTAAGACGAATGTGTTTTAAATTTTTTATTTAAAAGCCTCAAAAAAAAAAAATTTGAAAAAAAAAATCGAAAAAAAAAAATCGAAAAAAATGGCAACAAGCGAACTTGAATCCCTCACAGAAACAGATCAATTTGAATTTGAATTGATAAGTAAGGAATCCCTAGTGAAGAAACCTCCATGAGCGATAAAATCACATCTGTATCCTCCGATAACACAAATAACCCACAAAAAAGCACAAATAACCTATGAAAAGAAGCAAATAATTCACGAAAAAATCAGATCAAACATATACAAAACCGAGCACCTGTCAGAGATTACCTTACGGAACTTGATGATGGAAGTAATGAATGCAAAGTATGTGAACAAGCATTCGGAAACCAGACTGCAATATCAACCATTAATCGGCCTTTCACCCTTCTAAATACGCTATAATCAAACAACGTAAATATCAACGACTCGACCCTTATGGTTCAAATGAAAAATATAAAGTGGACAATTTAAATGATAAATTTTTAAAATGGGTAGTTGTTGACCAACAATTATTTTTATTATCCGAAAATGCAGAATTTATTAA